TTAAAATTCAATAAATTAATAAAATAGATGAAAATTAATACACCATGAGATGTTATTTGGGGGGCTTTCTACTGAGCGAATATTTAAGAAACTGGACAACATCAATACCTTGACAATAAGATAAAGAAACTGGCTTTCTCCTCCTCTGTTGGTGACTCACAGTAAAGATGAAGAGCTAACCTACTAGAAATGAAGCAATACAAACCAGCATTCAAGTGTATATCCTCTCACCCAGAAGTCCCTCTTAAGAAACCCAGACTGAGACTGGAGATGCACATACAACCATAACCTTTGTGCTTCACTGCCCATGCAATGAACTGGATCCAACTCAAGTGTCTATAAGAAGAAGATAATTAAACTTGTAGTAGTTAAAGGCAATGTTCCCACATAATATGAAGGAGCTACAGAAAGAGCTTGAGTCTATAAAATATCAGATACTATAGAAAGCTATTTTGGTGAATGTTTGTGTCTAAAAGAGAGCAAAAGAATTTTATAGAAAATTTAATAGTTTTTACGAAGAATCTTTGGTGGTTTTATCTCTTTATTCCTTGTGTGATCTTATTCATTATTTATTTTACAAAGAAATTACTCTTAGAAGCAGACAGAATAACATGGCTAACACAAACGAAAAGTATAAGTCCCTTGCTCCACACTAGGTGTCCAGTCAAGGTGATCAACGGAGCCAGAAAAAAAGAATCAAAGCTCCCACAGACAAGGGACACATGTCCAAAAGTTCAATAAACTGAATGTCTCTTTTCTAAAGCTTTATGGGTTACCTTTTTCATTTTAAACATGTTACCAAAAAAGCAAAAATTCTCTAAGTGTATCTGTGCACACGTGCGCACACACAAATGCACTGTGGTTTGTCAGCCCCTGTCCTTCCCTGAAGGAGAGGCTAAGTTCTTGCCCTGAAAAGAGTGTGTTCATTTCTACCAACTATGCCAAGGTATTGTGTTGTGTGGTTTTAGCAGTGGCAGCGGCGGGCGGGGGAGGGGGGTGATATAAATTATAACTTATTTACTACAGATAGGGCAGCCATGATAGACCAAAGAATTTCACCCAAATCTGGCTTGGTGAACCAATGAGATTTTTGGGGTTACTTACAGGGCATGGGTAACTCAAAACAGCTATATTCCTAATCTATACCGCCTTCAAAATATGGGTGCACCCTTGGAGTTCCCTGCCCGACTTGCAAGCAGCTCTCCTAAAGATTTCCTCCTCCAGTACCACCAGGAATCCCAGCAATTGCAACTGCTCATCTCTCCCTGGGGTGGTTTTAATGAGGATGGCCCCCATGGGCTCAATACTTAGTCATCAGTTAGTAGACTGGGAAAGATTAGAGCTATGGCCCTGCTGGAATAGGTGTGACCTTGTTGGAAGAGGTGTGTCATTGGGGGTGGGCTCTGAGGTTTTAAAAGTCCACACTAGCTAGGCCCAGTTTGTCGCTCTCCTCTCTCTCTCTCTCTCTCTCTCTCTCTGTCTCTCTCTCTCTCTCTCTCTCTCCTCTCTCTCTCTCTCTCTCTCTTTCTCTCCTCTCTCTCTCCTCTCTCTCTTCTCTCTCTCTCTTCTCTCTCTCCCCTCTCTCTCCCCTCTCCTCTCACTCCTCTCTCTCTCTCTCTCTCTTCTCTCTCTCTTTCTCTCCTCTCTCTCTCCTCTCTCTCTTCTCTCTCTCTTCTCTCTCTCCCCTCTCTCTCCCCTCTCCTCTCACTCCTCTCTCTCTCTCTCTCTTCTCTCTCTCTTCTCTCTCTCTCTTCTCTCTCTCCCCTCTCTCTCCCCTCTCCTCTCTCTCCTCTCTCCTCTCTCCTCTCTTCTCTCTCTCTCTCTCTCTCTCTCTCTCTCTCTCTCTCTCTCTGCCTGTGGATCAGAATGTAGAGCTCTGTTACTGCTCCAGCATCATGTCTGTCATACTGCTACACTCCTCACCACGATGCTGATGGACTAACCCTCTGAAACTCTAAGCCATTCCCCAATTAAATCCTTTTTTTTTTAATAAGCGTTGCCTTGGTCATGGTGTGTCTTCAGCAATAAAACATTGACTGAGAGAAGAGCCTTGTAAGTTTCCTGGACTTCTTGTGTCTTAGGAGCCTTCCTCCTCCTTCTAAGAGAGAATATTTCAATTCAGAAGAATTAACTACACAACACATGCCCACCTTCTTTCTGGCACCTCTTATACTAGGCAAGGAGTGACCAGTTTCGTAAATAATATTTCCTTAACCAACATTATTAAGTGGCTTCCAAGAGCTTTGAACTTGATTCCAGGCCAATGACTGCCAAGAGACCAAAGGTAAGACTTGGGTTTCTGCCTGTGGTGAAACACACACACACACACACACACACACACACACACACTATTCACACCACTTAGATAAGAGTAATCAAACTGCCAGGTGGGACGCTGACCATTCACACCACTTAGATAAGAGTAATCAAACTGCCAGGTGGGACGCTGACCATTTCCCTCAAACACAACAGGAGCCAGGGCCACTCTTCCAGCATGGTCTAGCTCACCAAGAAATCCCAGAATCCCAGGATTAGCAAGAGCACGTGACTCCTCCACCGCTCCAGTGCTGACCCAGGCAGGAGGAGGCAGGGGGATCTTTCTGTGGGCATCTCGCAGAAGCTCCTAAGTAGGATATGCATGTCCAGCCTCAGTGATTCTGACTTCACTGGCCCAGAGGAAGGCCTGAATACAGACTTTAAATCTCTAAAGTACACCGGAGTTCAGAGCCTCTGAAGTGGGCTCAATTCTGATCCTGACAGGCACTTTTGGTTAGCTTGTCTTCCCGTGCCCCATGAGAAAGTGGGTTTTCCTCTGGCTCTCCTAGAGCCACACAGCAAAGGAGTTCCTAAGCTCCTGCAAGCTCCAGAAGGCAGGGACTATGTTTTCCTTATCATCGTGCCTCCAGGGCCCAGGCGACAGAATAAAACGTGTGAGTGAGCGAACAAATGTGTGAGCCCCATCCTCTCCCACCTCCCAGTGCCCAACATCTAATAAATGAGCTGCAAAGCTGTGAGGCTGCATCGCTGCCAGACTTGTCAGAAATGTCCTTAGACCCTGCCCACCTCCACCGAAGGAGAATGTGCGCTCTGACAGCAACCCCCGGCATTGGTGTGCCCCACGCAGCATCACCGTTTCTGCAGTATATTAGGGAGTCTCCCAAGCTCCTGAGATAAAAATGTGTGTGAAAGTGCATAACCTGCCCATAAACCTTCAGCCCAGGTCAGAAGAAGCGTGTCCTGTGGGTCTGCCTACCACACACGCTAAACCTTGGCTCCAGCTCACCTAGAGATACCCTCTTCCCCTATCGTGTTCCTTGGTGGGATGAATGCCAACCTTGATGCAACCCTAAACCCTATTCTACATAAACCCCGACCTGGTTCAAATCCCACCTCTGCCGCGTTCTATGAAAGTGGTAATAAGCGATTGAACCAAAGCCCAAACTATTCAGAAGGCTTTAGGGAAGGTGTAATGTCCTAACTGAGGCAAAGCGCTTGTTAACAGTGCCCTTTACCAGGGTTTTTCCTTGGCCTCCTCTGTAAGAGGCTTCCTAATAGGAATTCACATAAAAACCCCAATCCTGGACATTCTGCTTCCATCGAGAAAGCAGGGGAAACTGGGCATGTGTCTGCACTCAGGACGCTGAGGCGGGGAGGATCGGGAATTCAAGCCAGCATGGGTGATATAATAACGTCGTGTCTGAAAAGAAGAGAGGGTCTTGGTGGGAAGGAGGAGAAGAGCAAGTGAAGAGAAAGAAGAAAGTTAGATAACATGTGAAAAGGATCACAATTTCCCACAAGATCTCTCTTGAGCAAGTCAAGGATGCCTAAAGGGGCTTTAGCTCTCTGCCTTTTTTTTCTTTTGATTACCTGCGGGGGGGGGGGGGGGGGGAGGATAAGCGCTACAGAGGAACACCGGCCTGGATCACTGTGTCCTGAATAGGGACAGCTCTCCATTCCAGACCATGGTGCATGGTGTGTGTGTGTGTGTGTGTGTGTGTGTGTGATCTAAAAGAGAAAGGAGGAAGGGCTTCTGTGAGGAAAGATGGTGTTCTTTCTCCAGAGGGCTGCGCGGACACCTGTCCCGGCTGCGGCTGCAAACTGTCAGCGCCCGGCGCTGCTCCCAATCTCAGGTCTCAGCGAGGCCGCTGCCCTCTGCGGCAGACGGCGGTGCGCGCTCCCCACTCCAGCACCAGGCTGGCCCGGCAGCCCGCGCGCTCTGCCGGTGCAGCATGCGGGCGCTGTGACGTTCTCGGATAAATGCCGTGTAACTGTGTAGGCGAATGGGAGCTAAAAATAAGAACGGAAAATCTATCATTAAGGTATCATTGCGCCAGCGCAGCTATTTGAAGGCTCCCATGGTCCCCGGCGCCTGCGTTTGAAGCCCGCCTTCAGGCTTCAGGGGTATTTGCTGAAAACTCCCAGCAGCGGCTTGCCAGCCAGACCTTAAGGTTCACCGGGTGACGCTGGCAATTATGGCAACATTCAAAATGAAATAAAATAAACGGTCACCTCTAGCCTCCCAACCTCACCCCCTATATTCTCAGATCGCTGGCGAAGCCGTGGCGGAAGAGGGCTAGAAACTGAAAGGAGTGAAATCCGAACGGTTATGCAAAAACTAGAACATATTCTATTCCTTCGCTATTCACCTTTCTCTTATTCGTCCACCTTGGATTAGAAAAATAAAGTAGGGAAGGGAAGTGAGGGGAGGCTTTAGGAGACAAAATGACAAATGGGGCTTACCCTAGGTCTAGAGTGCGCCGAGGCTGGGCGCAAAGAACGCAAACTCCGGGGATGGTGAGTCTCCGGGGTTCCATTGGATTAAACGAAAATTGATCTGATTTGGTTTAGAACACCCGAAGTCTAGAGGAAGAGGACAGGGACAGGGAGGGAGGACGAGAAGTGTGTGTGTGTGCGTGCGTGTGTGCGTGTGTGTGTGTGTGCGTGTGTGTGTGTGTGTGTGTGTGTGTGTCCAGGGAGGGGGAGGAGGCGCCAAGGTGCAGCCTGCGTGCGGCTCTGCGCCTCGGCGGGGCTGCGTGCGTGTGTCCCTGTCCACGCTGCTGAAACGGGCTCTTCGAGGGATAGGCGTCACATGACTCCGCCTGCCCCTAGCCAGCGTGCAGACCGCCCGTCCCTCAGTTTGCTGGGGGAGGGTCGGTCGACATCTCCCGGGGCCCTGGGGCTCTGCGGAGAGGAGAATAGGTTCCAGCAAGGAATGGTCCTTCTAGGTTCAAGAAACCCTAGCTCGGAGCCAGGTCCTGGAGTGTAAATCTTGAGGGGGTTGGGGTGGGGGAAAGAGAGGGAGCGATCCAGCGAGCGCCAGAGAGAGGCAGCGCTGCGCGCACCGACGAGGGGCTGCCGGGTGCCGCGCGAAGAAGATGTAAGCGCGTGGGGTCTCGCTGGCCTCCGAGCACCATGCAGAAAGGGATCCGGCTGAACGATGGCCACGTCGCGTCCCTGGGACTGCTGGCGCGCAAGGACGGCACACGCAAAGGCTACCTGAGCAAGCGGAGTTCGGACAACACAAAATGGCAAACCAAGTGGTTCGCGCTGCTGCAGAATCTGCTCTTCTACTTCGAAAGCGACTCAAGCTCTCGGCCCTCGGGGCTCTACCTGCTGGAGGGCTGCGTCTGCGACCGCGCGCCCTCCCCCAAGCCCGCGGTCTCTGCTAAGGAGCCGGCGGAGAAACAGGTGAGGGAGCTCCACGTCCTGACCTCCCGCGCCCCTGCTGAGGCCCTGCGGGTTCAGGGCCTTCCACCCTGCTTCGGTGACCGAACTTTGACCCTTCTACTCTAAGCATCTAGGGCGCGCTCAGCATCTTCCACTGGCAGGACCGACTGGACCGAACTGGGAGGGTGACCCTAGGGCGGACAGGGACTGCGGGTTGGGCGCTGCTAGGAGCTGCAGCCGCCCTTGGCGGGGTGAGCCCCGTAGTGGGCGGGGACAGGGAGGCTGAAACTTGGAGATAGCGATGGAGATGGGGTCCAAAGGGCCGACACTGGTGAGGAATCTGATCAATGTCCGACCCAAAATGGTGCCCCTAACCCCATCCCCACCCCCACCCCAGCCTTGATAGCTGTAATCTTCTGCCTGAGACGTGGAATTCCTTGCATTTAGGCTTGGAAAGGGTAAGACAGACGTCGGAGCGTCGCCGTACCTTGCCTTCCGCAGCTAGGGACGGAGAATAACCTGTGCTAGCCTGGCCGAGTTGGGGATTGCGGGGCCTGGGGGGAGGGGGGTCGTTTGTGCGATCGAGTGATGGTGTGCTGCTCCTAGCTGGTTCTGGCACCACTAACGAACCCCAGGGTTCCAAAGACCGCTATGATGCGCCGGGACCAGGGCCAGGGTTGCTGGGGAGCCATGGGACAAGTGGGCTCTGCTTTCCTCCCCCGCCCCCTGCGCCGCCGCGTCCGCCGCAGTCGCCGCTGTAGCGCGGCGCTCCTTTACTCTCTCGCTGGCGTTGCCCAAACAACAGGGCTAAAGGGCCAGGCCGCGATCTGCCATGGGGCCTGGACCTGATTGATAGAAGAGCATTGAGGGAGGAGGGTCACCTGCAGCCGCCCAGTGGGAACACTCCGACAGAGAGAGCTATCTTTAAGCTTGATGTCTCTCCCTAAGGCATCTGGTCCCTGGCCTCTAGGAAGAAAAGAAAAAGTACATGACAGTGTATCCAAAAATGTCATCACTGGGAGAGGCCTGATATCCATGGGACTCAGCAACCTGGCTATTGCCTAGATGGGGACACTGAGGCCCGGGGATAGAGCTATTTTTTCTTGCCCTGTGTCATAGCAGGAATCAAAGCCACCCAAGGTTCTGGGAAGACAACAACGGGGATCTCAAAAGCATACAGCCTGGTGGCGATTGAATTGACTGGGCTGAAAACCTCCCTTGAAGTCTCCTCCCTGATTAGGACAGAGAGCTGCACTCTGTCCCTTCAGCAGTCTCTTTATACCTTGCACTCAGCCCCCAGTGTTAGGTGACAATTTCTGAGGGAAAAGGGAAGACTCTGAGAGTGACCAATCAGGAGGCCATACAGGAGCTCCCAGATGGCAAAGAACAGCAGTTTCTTTAGCTAATAGCCAAATGGAGCCTCCTGGGCTCAGCTAGAACAGTCAGACCCAGGCTGCCAGCCTCTCTTATCCACTTGCTGTCTACAGCCACAGCACACCTGTATCTCCCAGGTGACTGCACCCTCGGTCAGGGCTCCCTCCATGTCCCAGCTCCCTACAGCACAGTAGGAGCTGAGTTCCTGAGTGGGAAGGAAGGCAGGAGGAGCAGGGAAGCTAAATTGGTTGAGGTCCAAAGCATCTGCTCTCAGGTTCCCTGAACTAGAAAACTGACAAGCTGGAGGCTGAATCTCGGCTGAATGGTTTCTGGGATCTGTGGCTTTGCTTAACATGCAGGCGTCCTCTAAACCTGTTTTGAATACAAAAAATAATGGCACGGACCTTCCCTAGGCCTTTGGGAACACACAGCCAAATTATGTGTATGAAAAGATTCTCACAATACAATTAAGTGGGATCCTAGCTGGATTAGAATTATGTCAATCCACCTTTCCCATTTCTTTCAGGCTGAGAAACTGAGGACCATAGACAGACAGGGAGTTGTCCAACATCAAGGAGCCTGGCAGAATAAGACTTAGAATTGACCCAGTATCTAAAACCTACTGAAAATAGGGTCCCACATTGAGCTCACGTCAGCCAGCTCTCATCTTGGACACTGACCATGGGACAGATGGGACTGCAGGCCAGTTAGCGTCCTGCGCACTTGTTGTGAGCCATTTCTCAGAACGCTCAGTCACTGGGGCTTATTAAGAGAAGAGGGCAAATGGGGAGCAGTGGGTGATGATCTGCTGTGGCCCAGTTTGGGGGGTTCTTGTTAAAGACTCCTGTTTTATTTCACACACTCATATCCAAGTTCCCTTCAGCTCCAAAGCAAGTTCCACAGCTATGGAGTCATAGTTCTCACTGTTCTGACCCATTCTTGTGTACACAATTTATGCTCACCCGCAGCTCTTTAGTAAAATCTGTGACCCTCAGAGCTGCTTCCCTGTTTCTTTTGGGCAAGGAAACCCCATAGAATAAACTAGAGAGTAAGGTGATAGAAGCCTCAGGCCACTCTGTGACCAAGTTTAGACCTAAACCAAACCTTGACTTCACACTCACTGGGCATGTGGCCCAAGCACCCAAATTAACAAGTCTAGAAAATGCAACCATTTTGACAAGACTATCTGGTGGTATCTGGTGGAAGTCAGTCTTAAGGAGACTTCATTTTTGCCTAAGTCTAAACCCACAGGAATAGAGACTGAGTCTGAGCTAGGAACCGAGCAGATGCACAGAAAATACTTTTTGAGCTGCACATGTCTGAGGTGTCATATGTTGCTTCCATATGTCGTATCCTGAGGACTGACTGAGTGCTGGGCACTAGGTCTCAGAAGCTAATGATGCAGATGTTGGGATCCCAGGGAAGATAAATACAAGTCAGAAGGTATAACACACCATGTGAAGACCTTGGCCTGCTGGATGGCAAGGTGTTATAAGAGCCAAGGCTGATCTGGCGCCCTCTCACCTGCTATGCCTAGACTGGTCGGACTATGTTTAAAGCAAGAGGATTTTTGTCCCACACTGCCTCTGGCCTGGGTCTCCAGGGTCTCCTGAAATGACATAGACACATCTTGTCCCCCACCCTCCTTTGCTGCTGCAGGGTACCCCTCCCATGTTACTTACACAACCCTGACTTCCTCTCTTCCTGTCCCTGAAACTAAACCCCAAAGCCTGGGTGATATGAACTCAGAGCCTGGGTTCAACATGCCTAGAGATTGGCTCTGGGGGCTCCAACCCCTGCTTCTGAATAGAGTGAATTCAGCTTTTCCAAACCACTGAAATAAACCTTCTAGTGCCAGGTCCTCAGTAAGAGATATTTCCAAACCAACCCCAGTACTGACTGCACTCCCTCCAACCAGGAGGGCCCAAATGTGGACAGAAGGTGTCTTCTGATTCCCTAGAGAGAGAAAGGATCCACACAGATGCCAAAGCCTCTGAACCTAATATAAGCTTAGGCTCAATGAGCTGGGAACCTCCCAGAACAGCTCTCCTCCACCAGGCCACTGTTAGTTCCTAAATGAAGTGCTACTCAAGGTCCTAATCTATAGGGAATATTCCTGGCTACCCTGGTAGATTGAATGCACCAGGTTTACAGGTGAGGAGACAGCCTCTGCAGTGGCCACTCCCCATAGCAGCGAACATGAAACTTGCTGCTCGGGCTCCCCCTCTCTACAGCTATGTCAGCCTCCCCACCCTCCAGATCTGGAACATATTAAACTCCTGCACCAGCCAGGAAAAAAAGGTAGCCAGGGTTTGAGAGAATGAGGCTCCTCTAAAGGCAACACCCTTCACACCCAGCTTCCTGTGGTCTGAGCAAACCACGGCTGAGGGCAGCTCCAACTCGAGGGCTCCTGCCTGCAGTGAGCTGGCAAGGCTGAGCTGGGGTGCCAGCACGTGGGGGTCACTGGCCCTGAAGTCACCGTGTGGAGCACTCCTTTACCCACCCTCCCTCTCAGCAAAAATAAGACCAAAGTGGCTCCCAGAGGATGCCTCTCATAAGAATGGGACAAAGAAGGCTCCACTCCCTGCCACACACTTGCTGGCAGTAGGGCAAGGGTCAGGGACAGATGATATGGAAACTTAAGCTCAAACTCTTACTGTCGTTGATTCGCTCAGGCTGGTACTCCACACTGAACCAGGTTCCGATCCCACAGGTGCCGAGGAGAGAACATTACCCTCTAAGCACTCACAGAGCTGTGTCTCATACAGTACCTGCCAAGGACAAGAAATACTGGCTCCCTCCCAAAGAGCCCCTAGAGGACTCTCTCACCAGCCCCTCTGCGGTTAGGAACTCGGCCTCATCTCCATCCACCGCATCCTATTCCAGGTCCCCGTCTAGGGAACAAACAGTCCCAGTGTTCTTTTCTTTTTGTATTTATGTCACTTTTAACCTTTGTGATTGACACGTAACACTATTTGCACATATTAATAAGCTATGATATTCTGTTCTGATTTGCTTCTACATTAAGTGTTGATCAGCATAGGGTAACTGCTATATCCATTACCTTGACTTTCAAATTTCTTACCCCAGAGGGCATTCAAATTCCTCCTCCAGCCTGTCATTGAGTAGATGATTCCTGGAGCACAAGTCTGCTGGCTCCTCTAATCCATCCCCGCCACCCCTTCTCTCTCTCTTTCTTGCTCAGGTCACAACTCCTCATCCTCTACAGCCCTTCTTCCGGCTCTCAAGGTACAGCTTTTCCCTCTGACATAGTGACTTTCACCGCATCCCACACCTGTGGGATGTGGCCTCTAGTCCCCTCGCAGGTCTTAGCCTAAAAGTGACCTCTCAGAAGAGAAGACCCCTCTACCCTACCCAGGAGCCAGCACAGCCCCAGCTCCAGCCACGGTGGTGTGTCTAGTTTCTCCATTTATATCTGCAATTACAGTTCATGATTACTTCCTATACCCATCTGGTAGCTTGGAGATGGACGTTTTCCCCACTAAATCCAGATGCCAGGGTAGTGCCAGACAGCTGAGACAGGAATTACACAACTAAGTACCCAGGTCACAGATGTGGAGCGCTGGAGGGAGGGAGGGAAGGAAGGAAGGAAGGAAGGAAGGAAGGAAGGAAGGGAGAAGGGGGAG